GAAGTAATATTTTTAGCCTCAATTTTCCTTACATAATTTTCAATCTATAAATTTTTTTCCTATCCAAACAAAGAAAAAAAAAATTTCCTACAACTTTCTCATATTTTTCTATATGATATCTACTTGGGCACTTAACAAGCTACCTATTAAATTTCTCTATACCAATTTTTATTAAACACATTAAAATTAGTAACTCAACAAAATTACATTACAAAATTTAACAAGTTTTCATTCAACACTTTTAACTTATCATTTTTTCAAAAAAAGGCCTTTAACCAAACGCACCCTAAAGAGCCTTCAAGCATGTGTGGTTATGACCATATAACAATGAGCTAAGATTACATAAATTTGTTAATATTACTTGTAAAAATATAAATTTTATTTAATTTTACTGTTAAGAATAATTGATATTTATTATTTAATATATTAAATTAATTAATAAATTAATTTTTTAAATATCATAATTAGTTTTAAGCGAAAAAAAACTATAAACTAATAAAAATATTAGTTAAACTAAACAAATTTAATAAAATTTATGCGACCTTAACATAATTTTACGTTGTGAACCCCTTCAAGCATTTGATATGTATGGAGGTGCACCATCTGCCCAGATAAAATTGACTCCAAGTTTGTTGCATTTGCAATATGCATCTACTGGTGTATGTGGTATGTACTACTATTGACCCATATGTATGGCCTAATACTACCAGAATTATAAAATATTATTTTTATTTAATTTAACTAATAAAAATAATTAATAATTATAATTATTAAATAATAATTAATATTTATTAAATAATAAATAAAAATTTATCAAAAAATTTAATATTTTAAAATACTATTTAAAAAAATTAATAACTTAATGACAATATTTCTTATGCTCAGAGCAAACAATCCCGAGCCAGGCAGGCGCAATAAAAACGAAATGATAGAAGCATATGTTTTCTGATTCAGAAAAAATGGAGTGAATTAATACTAATTAATTACAAACAGATCTTCCAGAGATGGCGTACCCTCAAACCCCAATCAATTTTCTGAGTACAAAGTGAAAAGTAATAATCACATCACCCACCTGTCATGGGCGACTGTCTATGGAAAGACTCTAGAGAGAGCCAGAGAGGGAGCTAGAAAATGAGCCCCAGAATCTATATATTTTACCTCTTGCTTGTAAGACTTGTACTACTCCTTTGAACATCATAATGATTATTATGATCTTCCCCTTCTTTATGCCACTGCATGAAATCAGGTGGGAGAAGTTGAAATATTAAAAGGGTCTTTGCCCTCAAAAAAGTTGAACAATTGTAAGTACAACATATGTACCTACTCTCTCCCCATCCACAAATTGAGAGATATTCATGAGAAACTTCTCTTGTAAACCCTTGGCAGCTTTAATTAATGTACTTTGTTTGCTCTTGTTTTCCTCCCTTGATTAACTCATTCAAATTTCACCAAATGATTCGATGATCACAAATTTTATTAAGATCAGTAAGTTATTCATTTAATTTGATAATTAAATTTTTAATTATTAATTTTTAATAATATTAACCTACTAATCATTATTCTTATAAAAAAATAATAATAATAACTCACCCCTTCCCTTGGACTTGGCAAATGTAGCATGGGGGGTTAGGTTTGGGTGAGTACTGTGGATCATAGTTTAAATAAATTGGGTTTATTATGGCCGTTTTAAACAGAAAAATTGAAGTGGATTGCGTTGCTTCTACTTTCATCCCATTGTTTTTTTTTTTGAAAATAGGCAATGGATTTCATCCCATTGTTTTGAGCGATTTATGCCTTGGTCACAAGTAATGCCAAACTGGATTGCTTCCGCTAATAAAATACGTAAACTGTTAAATCCATACTCCTATCCATTTGATTTGACTCAGTTCTTTTGATTTGGTAGGTTGAGTTCAAAGTATTTTAAATGCTAGAAATTAAAGAAACTACTTTTTAACAATTGTGAATAAAAGCATTAAAATAATATTATTCAATTCCAATTATTTTAAATTATCGAACTTAAATTAAATAAAAAATAAAATCTTTAATATTAAAAATTATCTTTTATTTAGTAATTTTCATCTTATAGTTTTCTTTATCAATAATTTTTATTTTTTAATTTATTATAATTAATTTGAGCAATAAAATAAAAACTCAAAACACAATACATCCAAGTTAAAAGAATAACCGCACAATACATCCAAGTTAAAAGAATAACCAACCCCACCCCAAATAATTAATGAAACCATACATAAATTAATTACAGATGATCATAAAATCAAATGACTTTGGATTTAGGAGTTATGTCAATGAAGGGAGAATCTTGAAACACTAGTGATATATGAGAACATTTAATTTAATTTACTACTCCACTACATTTATACTTTTACTAGTATATTCATATCTTCCCAGATTTAAACTGGTCAAGGAAACCAGCAGTCTTACACAAAAACAACACTCTCCTTTCTTCCATAAACCATGACTAATTTAGATTACGAAAAACAAAGATACCTAATATCTTTATATATGGCTTGCTAATTCATATATATTTAGAGACTGATATATAATAACTAAAACACCAAACCACCGTTTGATGCGGCATTCCTATTAGTGTTACTTGCGTCGCCACCACGAACTAAACCCATTCCCAGTTTCAACTCCAACTCCAAGTTACCGTTCCCTCCGGCTCCTCCACCGCCGCCACCAGAACTGAACAAATGAGCCATGGAGGTGACCACTGAGCACTTTCTTTCATTGTTCACCTTTCCTTTGACCTTCTTTTTCACCTCTGCGGAGGAGGAAGAAGATGTTGATGAAGGTGATGCAAGGGGCAGGACTGATGGAATCTCGAAGTTAGTCTTGGCTTTAGAACCCCTCAGCCGCCTAGCCGCCGCATCGTATGCACGCGCCGCTTCTTCTGCAGTGTCAAAGGTCCCAAGCCAGTGGCGGCATCGCCCAATGCGGTCGCGTATCTCCGCTGACCACCTCCCCCACGGCCTTTTCCGCACTCCTCTGTAGTTCTTCTGCACCGAAATTGCAGCACTACTCTTGTCGTCATGACCACCGTCTTTGTCGTGCCTGAAACGTTTTGACGCTGAAACAAAACCTCCAGTTACATCATTGCTGTTGTTAATGGTGGTGGTGATGGCAGCACCGGTGATTGTTCCGGCAGCGGTGCCGGTGCTTCTCTTGCTTCCAAACAGAACGTTTTCGCCTACAACAGCAGCTATTCCGTCAAGAACCGGAGTCGATTCTTCCAACGTTCCGCTATTGGTTTCGACTCCATCTTCTTTCTTGTTAAGCTCTGCGAGCGAAAGTATACCGGAGATATCGGCGAAAACAGGACCAAAGCTTTGTCGGTTGAGGTAAGTATTAGGGGCTAAGAAAGAGGAAAATGGGAAGATGGAATGGAAACGAGGGTTATATATGCATGGCGTTTCTGGGTTAGAGAGAAACGGGACGGTGTGCAGAGGTGGGTGATTCAGTCCGAGACTGGTATTTTGCATTGCGGAACGGTGGAAGAGAAAGAGGGAGGTTTATGGAAGTTGATGATGGCTTTGGTGTGTAAGACAGAGTTGGCTTATTTATAGGGGTGATTATTTAATAAGCGATTAATAAAATAAGATTTGTCTAACATGCCTCTCACGGTGTGTTAGGGTTGAGGAAAAACAATTTTTTTGATTATTAAAAAAAATTGAAGGGGGTGGAAGAAGAAGAATTATTTTA